TACTACAGTGACAACACTGTTACTATTCTTTAGAAATATATTGTGACAACACTGTTACTATACTGTTAGAAATATATAGTGACAACACTGTTACTATACTGTTAGAAATATATAGTGACAACACTGTTACTATACTGTTTAGAAATATAGTGACAACACTGTTACTATACTGTTAGAAATATAGTGACAACACTGTGTTACTTCAGTGTTAGAAATATAACATTTACATTGTAAACATCAGTGTCATTAAGTTTGTGTGTAATGATACTGTTAAACATCGCATTAACATGCATCATGTTAACATGTTAAATATCACCTTAACATCTTACTGTGTTAACATTCATCATTACACAACATTATCTCTATAATAATAACTTATTTGTTGTTACAAAACTATTGTGAAAACTTTAGCAAGAAACATTTAAATTAATGAAGAGTATTAGTGATGCCTTCAAGGTAATGCTTCACTGCTGCTCAAGGTAATGCTTCACTACTGTTCAAGGTAATGCTTCACTGCTGTTCAAGGTAATGCTTCACTGCTGCTCAAGGTAATGCTTCACTGCTGCTCAAGGTAATGCTTCACTGCTGCTCAAGGTAATGCTTCACTGCTGCTCAAGGTAATGCTTCACTGCTGCTCAAGGTAATGCTTCACTGCTGTTCAAGGTAATGCTTCACTGCTGCTCAAGGTAATGCTTCACTGCTGCTCAAGGTAATGCTTCACTGCTGCTCAAGGTAATGCTTCACTGCTGCTCAAGGTAATGCTTCACTGCTGCTCAAGGTAATGCTTCACTGCTGCTCAAGGTAATGCTTCACTGCTGCTCAAGGTAATGCTTCACTACTGTTCAAGGTAATGCTTCACTGCTGCTCAAGGTAATGCTTCACTGCTGTTCAAGGTAATGCTTCACTGCTGCTCAAGGTAATGCTTCACTGCTGTTCAAGGTAATGCTTCACTGCTGTTCAAGGTAATGCTTCACTGCTACTCAAGGTAATGCATCACTGCTGCTCAAGGTAATGCTTCACTGCTGCTCAATTGCTTGTTTGATCTAACAAATTGCAACATTATTGTAAACATCTGTGCTAATCCTCAAGCAATGTTTAAATTTTACTGATTTACTGCTTGACATGTTTATAATAATGTACTATTAGAGAAATATTAATTTCCTCTGTAATGAAGTGGTCACAAAAATTGTATCTGGTTAAGTACTTTATAATTCATTGAAAAGATTATTAACCCTTTTACTGTATCTTCCATAGATCTACATAACTGACCCCAGTGTCACTCTCCTAAATCTACATTATTGACCCCAGTGTCACCTAAATCTACATAACTGACCCCAGTGTCACCTAAATCTACATTATTGATCCCAGTGTCACCCACCTAGATCTACTTTATTGACCCCAGTGTCACTTTTGTAGATCTACATTATTGACCCCAGTGTCACCTAAATCTACATTATTGACCCCAGTGTCACCTAAATCTACATTATTGACCGACCCCAGTGTCACCCACCTAGATCTACATTATTGACCCTAGTGTCACTCTCCTAAATCTACATTATTGACCCCAGTGTCACTCTCCTAAATCTACATTATTGATCCCAGTGTCACCCACCTAGATCTACATTATTAACCCAGTGTCACTCTCCTAAATCTACATTATTGACCCCAGTGTCACCTAAATCTACATTATTGACCCCAGTGTCACCTAAATCTACATTATTGACCCCAGTGTCACCTAGATCTACTTTATTGACTCCAGTGTCACTTGTATAGATCTACATTATTGACCCCAGTGTCACTCACCTAGATGTACATTATTGACCCCAGTGTCACTCACCTAGATGTACATTATTGACCCAGTGTCACTCACCTAGATGTACATTATTGACCCCAGTGTCACTCACCTAGATGTACATTATTGACCCCAGTGTCACTCACCTAGATGTACATTATTGACCCAGTGTCACTCACCTAGATGTACATTATTGACCCCAGTGTCACTCACCTAGATGTACATTATTGACCCCAGTGTCACTCACCTAGATGTACATTATTGACCCCACTGTCATTTGTATGGATCTACATTATTGACCCAGTGTCATTTGTATAGATCTTCATTATTAACCCCAGTGTCACTCGTATAGATAGATCTACATTGTTGACCCCAGTGTCACTCATCTAGATATACACTATTGACCCCATTGTCACTCATTTAGAGCTACATTATTGACCCAGTGTCACTCGTATAGATCTACATTATTGACCCCAGTGTCACTCATTTAGATCTACATTATTGACCCCAGTGTCACTCACCTTTTTCTTCCTTATTGACCCCAGTGTCACTCACCTTGATCTACATTATTGACCCCAATGTCACTCATATACATCTACATTATTGACCCCAGTGTCACTTACCTAGGTCTACATTATTGACCCTAGTGTCACTCACCTAGGTCTACATTATTGACCACAGCGTCACTCATCATGTAGATTTATGTTATAAGCACCGTACCCTCAAATGGTGTGAGTTGTAAAGTAAATTTGGGTGTAGACATGTGAGAGTGGGTGTGCACAGTGAGTGTAGACATGTGAGAGTGGGTGTGCACAGTGAGCGTAGATATGTGAGAGTGGGTGTGCACAGTGAGCGTAGATATGTGAGAGTGGGTGTGCACAGTGAGCATAGATATGTGAGAGTGGGTGTGCATAGTGAGTGTGCACATCATAAAGCCTCTCATCATGTAATGCATCATGAGAAAAACAAACCTCTGACCTTGTGTTTGGTTTAAAATAGTGACTGTTTCTTGGATGGTGTTTTGTGGCTTTATAGATGTTTCTTGTATCAGTTGATAAATGGATTTCATTCTACTGAAGCAAATTTTTTGATCAATTTCAAGACAAGAAGTTTCTGGAAATATTTGATGCTTTTAAATTTTTTTTGAGGAAGGGAAATTCCTCCCACAGTCATTTTTCTGTGTTTTTACTGGATCTTCTTCAATTATTGAGATGGTCTAAACCATGAAAATCATTCCTGGTTATTATTTTTTTTTTTTTTTGGTTATCTAAGAAATAGGGTAAAACTTTAATTTTTTTGTGTGTGATGATGGATTCAAAGCAGATAGAAGTGTAATATACTTGAGGGATGGGGATATGACTAATGAACAGAAGATAGGTTCCTTTACTTGTTGGAATGCATACTCTGTTTATTTTTTTGTTTTCAAATTGAATTTGTTAAATTTTGTGCAAAATTAGTCAATTATCTTTTGTGCATTTTCACTACTGTGACAAAGCTAAGAACTTGTTAAGAATGTGTAATGGAATTAGCTTAAAATAGGACTCCAGGGGTGAAATTACATATGTGTAAATTGTGCTTAGATTGCTAACTTTGTGCCTTTGTATCATATTTTGTGTTTTGGTGTCATTACCTTATGAAATATATTCTCCATAATTTCTGAAGAAACAAATTTTCTTGGAAAAGTTCTAACACTGTCAGCATTTTTAATTTTAGGATCCTGATAGTGAAAGTGTAAAATTATTGTTCACTATGTCTAAAGTAGTACTTGGAAATGAATGTGTTCAATCAACACACAGTACTGTTTATGCAGAAGACAAACTATATCAATATTCACATTCTTCACAAACATCTCAGTGTTTATCACTGATAACAGTTTAAGAAAGACAAAAAACCAGTTCAGTGTTTCATGTGTTTGAAGGAGTTTTCAGAAAAAAAGTCTTTAACAGACCATATGAGAATTCATATCAGAGGGAAAAAAATATCTATGTTCAGAATGTCTAAAAGAGTTTTCAAGTAAATCTGGTGTAATAAAACACATGAGAATTCATACTGGAGAGAAACCATATCAATGTTCACAGTGTCCAAAAGAGTTTACCAATAAATCTCATTTAGTTCAGCACATGAGAATTCATACTGGAGAGAAACCATATCAGTGTTCAGAATGTCTTAAAGAGTTTTCACAAAAGTCTAGTTTAGTAAAGCACATGAGCATTCATTCTGGAGAAAAACCATATCACTGTTCAGAATGTCTAAAAGAGTTTTCAAGAAAATCTTATTTAGTAGAACACATGAGAATTCATACTGGAGAAAAAACCACATAAATGTTTGGAGTGTCTAAAAGAGTTTTTATTAAAATCTCATTTAGTAGAACACATGAGAATTCATACTGGAGAGAAACCATATCAGTGTTCAGAGTGTCTAAAAGCATTTTCATTAAAATCTCATTTAGTACTACACATGAGAATTCATACTGGAGAGAAACCATATCAGTGTTCAGAATGTCTAAAAGAGTTTTCCAGAAAACCTTATTTATTACAACATATGAGAATTCATACCAAAGAGAAACCATTTAGGTGTTCAGAATGTCTAAAGAAGTTTTCATATAAATCTAATTTAGTAAGACACATGAGAATTCATACTAGCTAGAGATCATCTCAGTGATCAGTTCTTAAAGGTTTTCTCATTAAAATCAGATTAAACCACATATAAAGCCATATGGGAGAGAAACCTTACCAGTGAATGGTGTGAATTACTTAGAAAAAGAATGAGTTAGTCTTTCAGATGTCTAAATGATTATTTATACAAACATAAATTAGTAGTACATATGATTATTCATACAAAAGAGCTTTTATTTCCTTGGTGTTAATAAATTAGCACTAGTCATACAAGAAATTTCTTTTCTTTGTATCTCTTAAATTAGCAGCATTTATTCAAGGCTTTTTGCAATGACAATTTGTAGTTTTTATGCAAGAAAGTTTTCCTTTGTGTTGTTAAAATAGTAGTAATCATGCAAAAAAACTTCTCTTTGTGATGATAAATTATTAATATGCAAGAAAGCTTGTCTTTGTTGCCATTACCAGATCATACATCACCGGGTGGTTTTAACTAAAAATGCACAAAACCAAAAACATTCCATATGGTAAATCCTGCTCTTTGCAAATACAGTGGTACCTTGGTATACATACTTAATCCTTTCCAGGACCTTGGACTTATACCAACAGGACATATACCAAACGAATTTTTCCATTAGAAAATGTAGGGAAAACGATTAATCCGTTCCCGTGAAAAAAAATCCTCTTGTTATTTGCATATTATACATTGAAAGGGTTGTATAAAATAATTTAAAAACTACTTAATACTAAAATATATAATTTAAACACTGCTTAATACTAAAATTCATACATAAATACAAAAGAATTAGATGAAAAAATGAAAATTTAACCTCACTGTACTTTGCTGAAAAGTGTCAAGTGCCTACTAGGATATTGCTGAGAAGGGAGGAGGAGGAAATGTTACTGTTTGGAAGGAGAGTCCCCTTCTCTTTTCTGTCTCTTTTCCCTACTTGGACCTGGTTGAAGATCACCAGGTCATGACTTTGTCTCAAGAGAGAGGTAAACAAGGGTAGCGCACGGTGTCATGACTTATTTTGACCCATACAAGTTCTATCACACTAGTCGTATTCCAAACAAAGGTCGTATACCAAGCAAAAATTTTCTCATCCAAACAGGACGTCGTATACCAAGTTGGACTTATTCCAAAGCAGATGTATGTCAAGGCAACCTCTGTACTCAGGATTTAAAAATCAAAGAAAAATGAAATATTAAGTTATACTATTAGACTTCTCGCAGAACCCAATGCCATGTTTGGAGCTTTTACACAAGCACACACAAGGGATGTTTTAAATGGAGAGGTAAATATAAAAAACTGTAACAGAATTAATAGGCCACATGGATGAGTTGGACTCTACATGAAAGGTACTTAATGTTGCTTAGAATTGCTGAATTAATTGAATGATTGTAATAAAGTTGGTAGAATTACCGACAATATGTAAAGTAAAAGGACACAAGTGCAACTAATGTGACATTTATTGTGGCAACGTTTCGCTCTCCAGGAGCTTTATCAAGCCATTACAAACAATACATGGACACAGAGGGTATATAAAGGCTCAGAGTGAGGTGAATACTAGTGAGGTACCATTTCGATGTTCACTAGTGGTAGTAGTAGTAGTAGTGGTAGTGACAAAAGTAATACAATATGGTAGAGCAATTAATTCGTACATGAGTAAAAGGATATAAAAGCTATTACTTGGGTAACATAAAAATAGGTTGGACAAATATAAACTGGAATGAGGCAGCTTGTTTCAGTGTTCACTCTCTGTGCTTTGTGTAGTATAACAGGAGAGACTATGTGATGGCAGGGTTTACTGTTTTCAGGAGGATTCTTGCTAAGACTTCGGAGATGGTGAAGCTGCCGTTGTTTTGTTTAATTGTATTCGAAACAGTGATCAGTGCTGATTCGAGGCACTTGCGTCTGCGGAAAATAGTTTCTTTGCTCTACCATATTGTATTACTTTTGTCACTACCACTACTACTACTACTACCACTAGTGAACATCGAAATGGTACCTCACTAGTATTCACCTCACTCTGAGCCTTTATATACCCTCTGTGTCCATGTATTGTTTGTAATGGCTTGATAAAGCTCCTGGAGAGCGAAACGTTGCCACAATAAATGTCACATTAGTTGCACTTGTGTCCTTTTACTTTACATAATTGAATGATACAGTAAAAATTCTAGGTATTAACTTTTTCCGGGTTTGTGCCATAGTACTACAGCTTTGAAGTGTTGGTCAGTACTATAGTGCTATGCCAACATTCTGTCAACTTCAAATTTAGCAGAAGGTTGGTAGGCCTACATATAAAAGAATGGGTCTACACAGTCATTTTGTGCAGTGTACAAAAAATGGGGGCACCTGCATTACATTGTGGGAACACCATCTCAGTACCCTTTGTTCACCATGCCAACGGCCAGAAAAACTTCACTCCCAGCGATTTGGGAATCTTCTCTTGCTAAGTATGAGTTTTAACATTGATGCTGGTGGAAGTGAAGATGAATTCTATGGTTTTGAAGAGTTGATGACCGAAAGCAACTCTCAGGATGACGTTAATAGTGCCAAAAGCCTGGACAACCTTCAGCCATCCACTTCTGGGGCTGGTTCATCTGGTTATAATAATAATAATAATAATAATAATAATAATAATATATTTATAGATGGGGTTGTAAGAGAAGTGAATGCGAGGGTCTTGGCAAGAGGTGTGGAGTTAAAAGATAAAGAATCAAACAAAAGTATGAGTTGTCACAGTTGCTTTTTGTGGATGACGCTGTGCTCTTAGGAGATTCTGAAGAGAAGTTGCCGAGGTTGGTGGATGAATTTGATAGGGTTTGTAAAGGAAGAAAATTAAAAGTGAATATAGGAAAGAGTAAGGTTATGAGGATAAAAAGATTAGGTGATGAAAGATTGGATATCAGATTGGAGGAAGAGAGTATGGAGGAGGTGAATGTATTCAGATATTTGGGATTGGACATGTCAGCAGGTGGGTCTATGAAAGATAAGGTGAATCATAGAATTGATGAGGAGAAAAAGTGAGTGGTGCACTTAGGAGTCTGTGGAGACAAAGAACTTTGCCCTTGAAAGCAAAGAGGGGAATGTATGAGAGTATAGTTTTACCAACACTCTTATATGGGTATGAAGCATGGTTGATGACTGTTGCAGCGAGGAGAAGGCTGGAGGCAGTGGAGATGTCATGTCTGAGGGCAATGTGTGGTGTGAATATAATGCAGAAAATTCGTAGTTTGGAAGTTAGGAGGAGGTGCGGGATTGCCAAAACTGTTGTCCAGAGGGCTGAGGAAGGGTTGTTGAGGTGGTTCGGACATGTAGAGAGAATGGAACAAAGCAGAATGGCTTCGAGAGTGTATAAATCTGCAGTGGAGGGAAGGCGGGGTAGGGGTCAGCCTAGGAAAGGTTGGAGGGAGGGGGTAAAGGAGGTTTTGTGTGTCAGGGGCTTCGACTTCCAGCAAGCATGTGTTAGCATATTTGATAGGAGTGAATGGAAACAAATGGTTTTTAACACTTGACGGGCTGTTGGAGTGTAAGTAAAGCAATATTTATGAAGGGATTCAAGGAAACCGGCAGGCCGGACTTGAATCCTGGAGATGGGAAGTACAGTGTCTGCACTCTGATGGAGGGGTGTTAGTATTGCTGTTTGTAAACTGTAGTGTAGAGCACTCCTCTGGCAAGACAGTGATGGAGTAAATGATGATGAAAGTTTTTCTTTTTGGGGCCACCCTGCCTTGGTGGGAATCTGCCGATGTGTTAATAAAAGAATAAATAATAAAATAATATTTTATTTCAGCTTAACTCTTTGGCAACACAATGGTACAAGAATCAATGTTCTATGACCTTTCTACAATAAATTATAGTAATTTATATCAGGTATGGTGACGGCAATATGGGTAGCACGTCTGCTCACTGCCCATATATTTTTTGGAATTTTTTCCTTGTTTTTTATAGCTTTTTCTTACATTATTTTTTCAAATATAATAACTGACTATTTGGCATCATATAAAAGTAGGCGGAGCTAATCCGTAGAGTGCCAACCAATCAGGAGCCATCTGGGAACCCTCGGCCATATTCCCGCTCCAGAGAGAGCCAGGAGAAATCATTTCATTATTACGCTTATATCAACTTATATATCAACTCTGTGGCTTATTTATCTATCAGAATTGATCTAATATGATATAATAAACACTATAAATAACATACAAACATGTTATATACTCTAGACTGAATAAAAGAGGCCATAATATTGCGAGAGACCACTGGGAATATTTCGGTATAAATGAGTTATTCCTCTCCATGTCGTCTTTGAGTAAGAGAAAATGGTGTTTTGAAGAGGATAACTGCACTAGAACATCAGTTTACTAAGAAATACACCCAAACAAATGCAATTTTCGCGATTTTTTTTTTTTTTTTTTTTTTTTTTTTTGAGACGTTTGGCCGGCCGGCGTTCCAGGCCAATATCACGGAAGTAACTTATTCACCTAATGTACCTATTTCTTCCTTTATTACTTAATTAAATGGAATAATATTCACATAAATTGTAGAATAATGATTTCTCTAATTTCCTTCGGGCCATTTTTGGAAATATTCCAAATAATACAGTGGTCCCTCATTGTTCGTAATTAATCCGTTCCTGGAGCCGTTGCTATAAATGAAATTTACGATTTACGAATCAATTTTCCCCATAAGAAATAATGTAAATACAATTAATCCGTTCCTGACACCCAGAAGTATTAAAACAAAAATTTTTTTAACATGAAATATGCATGTAGTACATAAACAATACAATGGGAAATGATGAATGAAACATTAACAGCATAACACTTACCTTTATTGGAGATTCTTCTTAGTGTATGGGAGACTGGAGGAGGAGAGAGAGTGGATTGTTTATAGTTTGGAAGGGGAATCCCCTTCCATCAACACCTCAAGTACCATTTGCTTTTCTGGGGTTGCTTCTCTTCTCTGTTTCTTAATGCCACTAGGACCACCTTGAGAGTCACTGGAGTCCTGTCTCACAAATAACTGTGGAGAGAGCTCTGTTTCTGGCGCCTCTTTAACACTTCCCTAAAATGGCCCAAGACTTTGTCACTGTACATGTTGCCAGCCTGGCTTGCAACACACCTTGTTAGGGTGATGTTTCTCCATAAAGCTTTCCATCTTACCCCATATAGTAAAAATCTCTTTAATTTCTGAAGAAGGCACCTTCTTCCATCTCTCTTCCTCCTCTGCAGCAAGATTCTGAGCTGCGATGTGTTGCTCTTACTGCTGAAGCTCTTGCAGCTCCTCAGTGGTGAGCTCTTCATTGTGGTC